AAAGCCCCCTGACCCTTGAAATATATAGAACCGTTCTCTTGAGCTGATGGGGTCTGAACCACATTTTAAGCATGCGTGTCTTTTCTACATGTGAGACCTGCACTCATTTCTTTGCTCCCGCTGTTTAACGTACTGTATGCCCACTCCTGCACACCCAGGACCGTGAACGGGGAGAAGCTGTTTGGGAAATGGATCAATGGATACGGTAGAGTCCCGATATACTCCGTATCGGCTCAACAGCTGTGGAGTCGATCCACCACTAGATCTGCCCGTAGGCTGCTGCCGGTCCTTACTGAAATTAAACTGCTCTCACGCGACAGCAGGCAAGGGGATTTTTAGAGATTTCTCAGAACAAACACGCGCAGTGGGCAATTTCGTGCACCGAGAGCTCTGGACTCATCACTCAACGCTGCGAGTTCTGTGGAATTCAGTTCCATTCGGTTTTACAGAAAAAAATGGTTTAGAGCTGACTGTTATCTTACACTTAGTAATTCCTGGTTATGTCAGACTTTCTTACAAAAGCATCTAGCGTCTAACCAAAAAAAACAAAGCACACCGTGTTTGAGTTCTCCAGATCACTACTAAGTCAAACTCCCTTCACAAATACAGGGGTGTGGAGGAATGTTGCAGCACCCCCCCTGGACTGGTTCCCTTCGGGAAAACAAGAGAAACGTGCCAGGGTCTTCAAACATTCAGCCCCCGTTTTCACACGTTCCTCGATAGTCCCGGCTAGGTAAGAAGGAGGTGAGGTTTGACGACCGGAGTTGGTTATTTTTCCTCCACATCCTGCTAATTGACAATGCCACAACGGGTGACCAGGGGAGTCTCAGGGGTCTGCAGGGGATCCCAAAATGAAAAACAAAAAATTCCTTCCCACTCCCGAGGAGTCTGGGCCAGTCTTGCACCCGATTCGCACCAGTCTGATGTGTCCTGGTCACAGTCGGCTAATGACATCCTAGATCTACGCCAGAGCTATCCAGAACAGACAAGTCAAAGCGTGTCCTGATCCATAGCCTTTAAGAGCCACTACTCTGCAGCTCTTGGTCAAATTTCTCTTCTCCCACGTTGGCTGGCCGGCCGTTCAGGTCAGAACCAGAAAACGCCGGAAAACGCCCTCAGTGCGGATAATCAGGAAACACCCGGGGACGCAAATATGTGTGACACCCACCGAAAAGTTCCTTTAAGAACTGTTTTGTGGCTGGTCCGTGCGCTGTCTTGTTTCTTGTTAAATCAATGAAGAACCAAGATCTGCTGTAGGTCGGCATGAAATCAGGAGGACCAGCCTAGAGGTGGAACCCTCCTGCTTCCAAAGAGGCATCTCTGTATTCCTGCTCACCCAGGAAAGATGAACACCTCACAGGTAGCATGTTTCCAAACTACTAACTTGTTTGGGTAATGCTGTTGTCCAAAGCATGTTCCGTTTGCACCGGAACTGTCCAGGTGAAGACATTGGCTTTATTAGAACTGTTATATTGGTCTCAATCCCAAAAAAACTGTTAGAGATTTTAAGATAACTAACGAATTTCACACATAAGACTGAGAATTTTACCAACTGAAAACACTGACTGACATCTCTTTACACAAATGCCTTGTTCGATTAAGGGGTTAATCAACTAGGAGAGAGCTCAGCCTGAGCGCGAATCAGCTGACACTGGTTCGCCAGGACCTGGATTAGGAAACCCGATGAAGAGATTTTCACTCCTGAAATGAACTCTGCAAAGCCTCTCGGCGGCTCCAAGCTCCAAAGATGGTGAACCGGAGCAAGTTATTCATTCGATTAATGAGTTACTCCAGCAAGTTACTGATTCAACCGCAGGGTGTCCCACCGCCACGAGCAAACTGGGACTGGGAAACTGCGCTCTACATGGTCCTCTGGGAACCTGGGAATTCACCGAGTGCAGCAGGGTCTTCTGTGTTTCATCCCAGCGGAGGTCTGTGGGATTCAACATGTTATCTGTGCACCTGCTTTGTTTGTTAAAACTGCCTTTTTCATGATTGAATTGATCATTAGCAGAGAGGGATGACAGATCTGGAGGGGGTAGGGGACGGCGCTACAGAACTACATACAGCCCGTCAAGGGGTCCCATTCACCCACCACATAAAAATCCCCACCTCAAAGAAAATCTGTTTTTATACAGTTAAAAATAATTCCGTTTATTTCGGCTCGTTCGAGATTAATTAATTGAATCAATAATTGCAGTTTTGAGCTACTAACGTTTTTCCGCAGACGGTTCTCCTGTCTGCCACTTGAGTGAGGAAAAGTATCTGTCTTGGAAAATGTGTTCTTCAAAAGAAAAGAAAAGACCGGCATCTTCGAATAGGGGTTAAAAAAAGATTTTAAAAAGTCGTTTTTTAATTCAATTTTTTAAACCTCAAGCTGACATTTGGAAGCTACAGTTCTGGTCTTCGTGCTCCAAAGACAAGTCAAGTTTTGCTTTATTTTATTTAAAAAAAAACCTTCCAGCGACTGCCCTCCTCTTTATGATACAATTGGTTTTCTAAGCCTGATAGTTCACATTTTTTTATATGATACGTGCAGTCAAGCGTGGCTAGATTAGGTAAACAAAAAAAAAATCTTTGCATCATCGAAATGGAAAGTATTTGTTGTGTCTTTTCTCACAATGCAGTGATAGCTGAACCCGGGACAGATGCGTGAGATGGACTCGTAGAATGAAAAATAACTTCTGAACAACAATAACAACAACAACAAGCCGACGTCATGCGCGTGAGTGACACGCTTCGGGAAGAACCCGTATTTACCTGAGCGTGCCGCTGTGCTCTTGGGTACTTTCCCCCTCCGATACCTCAGCCCGCACACTGCCCCCTGCTGGAGGAGCAGGGCTACCGCAACTCACCGCACGGAGCGCTCATCCCGAACGGGGGGGATTTTAGCGGATCGTGATCAGAGCGCGGTGGCTTGGTAGGGGGGGAGGACCAAATGGGTTTTCTCCGTTTTTAATTTTCTTTTTTTTTTAAATAAAAAAAAAAAAAACAGAAAAACGTGACTTTTTGCACACCCCTCGGGGCGACCCCGGTTCGCGCGCGTGAGATCCCCCCCTTCCTCCAAAGGGCACGCGGGAAATCCTGAGGTTTGTTTAAGGACGAATCCCGGCGGCTCGTCCGCGATCCTCCTGCCGAGCTGGCGATTCCCGGAGAATGTGAAGGAATTTCATTCAGAGAGAGAGAGAGAAAGAGAGAGAGAGAGGAGAACCGGGTGGGATGTGGGGAGCAGAACGCCCCGGTGTGTTTTTTTTTGGGGTGGGGGTAACTCTCACGGAGTCGAAAATAATCAGACGGACAGACGCTGGGATCGCGGGGGCTCTGACGCAGGGACCGGGGTCGCACGGGGGGAGGGGTCCTGCGAAAGGAAGAGCACTCGCTCACCTGTCGATCATCCGTGCTTGTTAACACGCACGGGTGGAACCGAGACAGACAGACACAGGAACCGAGGGACCGCATCCACCCGGGAACATTCAGCCCCTGCGTGTTTTTTCCTTCCCCCTCGCTGAAGCCCGTTTGCTGGCTGTGCTTGCGAGGGAGAATGTGCTCAGAGCTGCAACAGGCTGGCTGGAAGACGGGAAGACGGAATTCTGCGGACGGGCCAGTTCTAATCTTCGTCCTACGCCGGGCGCCAGCGGAGTGTTTTCTGTTACCTTGTTAGTTCATTTCAGCCCGGAGTCTCGCTCAGGCCCGGGGCGACCCAGCGCCTGGGGGTTTCTGCTCGCTCTGTGCTCTCAGTTGCAGGGCTGGGCTAATTATCCAATGAACCGCCTGATGGCCAGACCTCTAACCTCAGAGCTGCCGGCCCCCTGCGTGAAGACGGAGGGGACCGAGGGAGCAGCTGTCGAGGACCTTGAGAAACATCCTATTGAATATACTGTACGCCCAAGGAAATAAATTAAGACGCACCCCCATAGTCCGATTAAGCACATACTGAGGTTAATTGTTTAATTGTCGGCTCAGAAGGGAACGCGAGAGGAGGAGGACAGCGGGACCCCCCAGGGACAGAGTGGAGAAACCGCTGAATTTTAGGGGGGTCTGCCCCGTTTCTCCGATTCCCCCCTCCCCCTCGCTCTGTTTCTGAAGGAGGTGGCCGGGATCAGAAACAGCGTCGGGAAGAGTAAACCCACGCACGACGTGCACCCACGGCTTCACCTCGGGCCTCTGGGGGGGGGGCGTGACTCTTCTGCCGATGCGCTGTTAGTATGGAACCCCCATCCTCCGACCCGACGGGAGACGAAGACTCTCCAAACTCAGTCAAAACGCACCCCCCTTTCCCCGCCACCAGGGCTTATGCCATTCCGTCTGGATGCACCGGTGCGCTCTTCGTTTTTTCTTTTCTCTTTTGTTGCACTTTTATTTTCCCTCCATTTTCGCCGCCTATAGCGTCCACGGCTTTGGAAAAGCGCTCCGTGTATCACATAGTTCCAGCGGCGTGGGGGGCTGCGTCTGCATGTGCAGGCTGCAGAGGGACAGGTCACGCCACGTTTCGGCTGTGGGACCACACTTCGAAGGCTCCACAGCCGAAACGTGGTGTTTCCTTTCTTCTCTTTTCAGCAGGGGACACACCTGCCACTTGTCCCCGGCTATAAAATACACGATCATCACCGCTGGAGAAACGCACGCACTGAGAACAAAAATGAGCCCTGCGGGTTCTCCGCTGAGATGTTCCAGGAGGAGGGTGTCTCTACAGCCCGGAGAGAGGCGGGAGAGGGGGAAGGAAGGCGGGATTTCGCAGGTCGAGCCCCACAGGGAGAGCGAGAAAGAGAGGGAGGACCCCGGCTCTCCAGCACGAGGAAAAGGCAGAGCCCCCGACCGCTCGCGAGAGGGCCCCGGCTCAGCAGACCCGCCCCGCTCTCGGCACCTCGGCCCACCGCAGGGACGCCGGTGCCCGGTGGTTCTCCACCTCTCGACACCTGCAGGCACGCCTCCCCACGCGTGGAAAGTGCGGCAGATGCTTCACCGTTTCAACTTTAAAAAAAAAAAAAGACGGCGCGGGAGACTTTAATCGACTTTAATTTTCTGTCGTTCTGAAAAAAAAAATGTAATAACGAGTGAAATAAATGTAAAAGAGAGCGTCCCGAATTGTCCAGGCTCATCTGTAACAGCTGTGAAGAGGTTTTATGAACATGCTGCTGAGAAGGCACCTGTTTCTCTGGACACGAGTGACCTACTGCTTTTCGGAGATGCAGCACTGCCACCTTGCGGGCAATGTGAGCAGTGCGCTCATTGATTCGGACGATCTGCGAGCCCTGTGGACGATGTGTTTCGGGACGTGGGTCACGTTGTCGTTTGCTGGGGATCCCTGCGCCTGCTGTCGGCTGTCTGACGTCACACACTCGGGTGTTTTTTCCACACTTTACCCAGCGGGTAGGAAAACGACATTTTTTTTGGGGGGGAGGGGTGGCAACTGCAATTAATTTTGCTATGGGCTGCTTCAAAGGCTGCAGCCTGTCAGACCCAGGATCACTTGAAACAAAAAAAAACAACACTGACAGTAAAATCAATCATTCAATCGATCGATCGATCGATCGATCGATTGATCAAACTGGGCAATCTCTGGGTCTAGAGCCGCAGTCGGTCACCCACAGCAGGTCTGACAAAATCTGCGCAGGGCTGTGCAGGGGCCTGTGGGGTCACATGCAGTTCAATTCAATCTGTTTTTATATAGCGCCTTCCACCCCTTTCACCAAAGGGTTGCCCCAAGGCGCTTAACAAAGCTGTGGGACGGTTCAATACAGGAAGTGAGAAGGCCAGAAGACAATGGAGGGGAGGAACCAAAAACTCCTCTGTAATGAAGAAAAAAGAAACCTCTGGGGGTCCAAGGTCAACAGGCTGCCCAACCCCTCTGGGCATGCTAACATTATACAGTTCCTAAAAACAGGAGTAAATGTGGAGTATTAAGTCTTCCATCACGTGCTCCCGTGTGCCAGTACTCCATGCAGATCCCTATAGACCAGCAAACCCTCCTAAACGACAGCTCTATCCGCGATGCCCCTCTTGGATCCATGGCAGTGACGCACACGGGAGTGCGTCCCACCCAGCATCCCACCCAGATGGTGCCCAGCTCACATCAGCCCTCGAAGACTGCGCGGCTATTCCGCGCACCCATTCTGCTGAAGGGGAAACTGAGAATGTGTAAGAGGGGAGTCATCCTGCCCAGCCCACCACAGGAGGACAGTTACCAATAGCCAATCAAATCGTAAAGTGAGTTTGTCTTTGGGAGGAACATGCAAACTCCATGTGGAGGGTGCCTTAAACTGGACAGGAACCCAGGGACTAAGTGCCACAGCCCCCTGCGCGTGAGCCGAAATGTAAAAACAAACGACGCAGAGACCGCTGATAATATTCAAGCTCAAAGATTCCTGTTGTTCTCATGAACCTAGGTGCCGCGCTCTTTAGGTGATCTATTTTTCTTTGCTTCTGAAGGTTTGCCAGGACACGATGCAGGATCAGGCTCGGGGAAGCCCGCTCCGGGGGTGGGAGAGGTTGCACACACAGAAGACACGGGTGGGATGAGGCAAGGGGGGGGCGGGGGGCACAACAGCAAGAAAACAGCGACCCAGAGCCAGAGTCCACAGTGCAGTGATGAGAGACGGTGCTGACGATCACACTGAAGGACACAGGAGGACATTTCGTATCTTCGCCTCTCTTCTTTTCACATTAGTTTGTCTCGCCTCGCCTGCATCATGGTAAACTGCCAATTAGTCTTTTAAGGATTTCAGAGGTCTGGTCTGCCCAGCTTGTCTCTGGGGCTCGGGGAGCTCTGGGCAGGTGTCTAAGCCAGCTCCATGACCTTCTTGATCCAGTCCACATACACGGACACCCGGATGAAGATGTTGGGCTGGCCCTTGTGTCCACACCTCCTCATGGGGATCATGACTCCCTCCAGGACCCAGCAGTCACTGTTCTGGCAGGCAAGAGGGCCTCCATAGTCCTTCTGTAGGAGCAAGACCGACAGAGAGATCAGTCTCTCTAAGACAAACAGACAAGGAGAGAGAGACAGACAGAGACAGACCAGTCCCTCTGAGACAGACAGGGACAGATAGATAGACCAGTCCTTCTGAGACAGACTGACAAGGGGAGACGGACAGGGACAGACCAGTCCCTCTGAGACAGACAAACAAATGTTCAGACAGAGGTTGTTCTGCAGCAGACAGGAATGAGATCACCTCCATGTGATGAAACTAGCGTTGAGGGACGAACTAAACTGATGTCCTCAAATTCTTAGTTTATTTTTGGTAACCGTATGCCAGGGACTCCCTTCCACAGATGAGCCGGGGTGAGTGGGGAACACACATGTGTCCGGGGCAGGGTCCAGGTGAGAAAACGGGGGCTGGATTCTCACCCTGGAGCTTGCTGGGGGAGAAACACTGCCACTTGCTCCTAAAACTGAAAAGCAGCAAGAGAAAACAGGGGCGGGGAAGGGGGGGTTGTCGGTCAGCTGTACCTCGCAGGCGCCCACAGGGATTTGGACGGGCGCCGTGCACATCTCGTTCTCCTTCACACGACCCCGGAAGAACTTGTTGCACTCCTTGTTGCTGAGAACTGGCATCTGGGCGACGTTCAGCACCGTTTCGTCCGCCGTGCCTGCGAGAAACGAGCACGACAAAGGGCGACCATGACACTACAGCCGTCCCTCTGGGATCACAGGGTGGAAAACTCTGGGCTTAAAGGGGAGCAGTCTGCTGTGTGGAGGTGTGGTGAGGGCTGTGACCTCTTAAGAGGAGGGTTGCAGGTTCAAATCCTGAATGGTGTGCTGCTATTTTTACCCTAGCACTTAAGCCTGCCAGTAACATTCCCCGCTGCATCAAAGGGCATGTGCTTCAGTCACGCTGGATAAAAACACCAGCCAAGCAAAATAATAATTATAATATCTGAGAGGTACCGCCCGTGCCTCGCACCCTTTAAATGGAGGTTGTCGTGGATGCTTTCTGCGTACTGTAATCACTCCAGTGCCCAGCTGTACAGACAGCACTGTATGTTTAAAGAAGAAAATGACAGAAACAATGTCCGCCGCCTTTTGCAAAAACCCGAAAGGACAGGGAGCGCGCGGCAACTTTATTAATGAGAGGGAGTACATCACACCATCAATTTGTGTTTATAAACTGGCTGCTTTTTTTCTTTTGTGCTGCCCAGAGGACTTGCCAAAAGACGTTTTACGCCAGGTGTTCTTGCCTGACTTCTGCGCCCGCCTCTTGCCCCGGCTGAGGGCAGGCGGGCGGATCGGGGCGGGGGGGGGGGGGGGGAAGGAAACCACAGAGAGCAGAGCTTCCTCTTCCCACCCCTGCTACTCCTGATCCCAGGTCCAGGTGGCCTGCATTCCGGCGGCGCTCCGGATTGATTCCCGGGGTGGAAGATCCAGCTGCTGGCCTATTTACAGGTGTGGCGCAGACCTGCTTCGCTGAGGGAAAGACAGCCTGGCCACGGGGACGAGGCCGAGCTTCATGCTCGTTAGCAGTAACGAGCTGAGGGGCTGCTGCTGGGGTCGTGATGGAGAGAAGGGGGGAGCAAGCAGGGGCTGCTGGGAATTTGGAGTGTGGAGCCTCGTGAGACTTAGCCGGGGTGAGGCAGGAGGACTTGACCTCTGCCCTGTACTTCTGTTTATGGCGCTCCAATGAAGTATCCAAGGTTTCCAGGGATGAAAAGTTTTCCGGAAGGGCCTAATTAGCACATTATCAGGTCACTGAGTAGGTGGAGCACAGCTAGACAACAGTGGACAACAGGAACACCAGGACCAGGAAGTTCCTAGGGTGCTGGAATAGGCCCTGTGCCCGGCCATGAGATGCACCCCACCTTACCTTGGGTCTCCCCCCAGCCAGCGATCTCACACGTGTTGCCCTCCGGGACGATGAATCGCTCAGGGGGCAGGCAGATCTGGGACACTCGCTCGTTGAACTGGGCAGGGCTGAGGAAGGAGAGAAAGAGTGAACTGAACACTGTGAGAGGAGAGAGAGAGGAGAGAGAGGAAAAGGGAGCAGAGGAGAGAAGATAGAGGGATAGAGAGGGGGAAGGGAGCAGAGGAGAGAAGAGAGAGAGAGAGAGCCCTACGTTTCCAGCTGCAGCATGACCAGGAACGACTCGGACGGCCCACACACGATCTTGCTCAGAGGGATGTTCTGCTTGCTCGGCTCGCCCTCTTTCGGGTCCCGGAACAGCGTGCCCATCATGGCGGAGTACCCGGTCAAGTCGGCGTCGCTGCGAAACCAACAGCACCGTCACCCCGGGCCGGACCAGCACCGCATCCCCCGTCCGACACAAGAGCTCACCCCACACACCCTGCGCCTCGTCTCCTCGTCCTGCACGGATATCGTTGCACTTCTGCAGCGGTCCGATATCCTGCCCCCTCTATCGGAGCACCAACACCACCTGAGCCACCCACCCATTTTCTAACCACTTTTTCCAATTCGGGGTCACAGGGTCATGGTGTCGCAGGGTTGCGGGGGAGCCTACCCCAGCATGCACCTTACCAGGAGGAGAAGCACTGCCTCGTGCTGATGACCCACTTGGCATCGACCAGGGAGCCTCCGCAGAAATGCTGACCTTTCCTGGGGGAGATGGAAGAAGATGTGACAAAATAATAACAATAATTCCTCACACATACAGCATTTCTTCTGGACACCCCACTCACAGCGCTGTACAGGTCATGGGGATCCCCTCCACCACCCCACCAGTGTGCACCCCCACCTGGACAATGCTCCAGTCTGCCCCCCACACACCAGCTCTCAGTGGGGAGGAGAGCAGAGTGATGGAGCCAGTTCAGAGAGGGGGGTTATTAGGAGGCCATGACTGGTAAAGGCCAGGGGGAGATTTTGCCAGGACACCAGGGTAACACCCCTACTCCTTTCGAGTGACACCCTGGGATTTTTTAATGACCACAGAGAGTCAGGACAACTGGTTTTACATCTCAATCTGCTCCTTTTTGCAGTATAGTGTCCCCAGCACTAAAGTGGGCCATTAGGATCCACACAGACCGCAGGCTGAGCGCCCCCTACTGGCCCCACTAACACCTCTTCCAGCAGCAACCTTAGCTTGTCCCAAGGGGATTCCCCTCCAGGTACTGGCCAGGCTCCCACCTGCTGAGCTCCAGTGGGCTGCCATCTGCGGAGTTGCAGGGCGATGTGGCTGCTGGCTAAAGTTTGTCAATGCATTGGCCGGGAATCGAACCCAGGTCAACTGCTTGGAAGGTAAAATGGCCATGCGCACCACTAATCTGGCAAAAGGGGGACAAAAGAAGCACTCTCTACGAAAAATAAGTTAATGTGCAGCCACTGTGAGAAGACACTTGGGGGGTTGTTGTGTTTCCTGAATGGGGTTTGGAGACCTCAGATCTTCACATGGTGGGAAAATGATGTCCGTGTTTTCCACTTCCAAACACAGTTCTAGAGCAGAGGGAACTGGTGGCCTCTGTACTAGACCCAGGATTCTGGAATGGGATCCCTTCCAGATCCGGGTCGGGCAGGTTCCTGTGATTCTCCTTGCGCTGCTGGTCTTTACTGCTTAATTGAATTAATTATTTGATTAGGGGTTCCAATCATGTATTTTGTTTAGATCTTCAGCAGTTGCCAGTTGAAAAGTACCGAGGAAACCCTTAGAAGCCAGAAGCGCAACGATGTTATTTTCCACAAGGGATTTAAAGCACCCCCAGTCACCTTGACTCCAGATGTCCCTGATTGCAAGAGCAAAAAAACCAAACAAAACACTTCCCAGCAGGCCTTTGGAAAAGAGTGACTGAACTTTGCTCTTTTTTGCAGATTTGGGCAACTCTCGCCCCCCCCTCCCCCTACGACTGGCAGCGTTGGCATAAATGAACAAAAAACAGCAGCCACCTCGTGCACAGGGGAGTTTCATGCCCAGATTGTGCTCAAGGAGCAATGGCGCTCCATGTCTTCCTAACGGATCTGAAAGGTTTCAGCAGCCGGCGGACTCGTGATGCCCGGGAGGGCCGCGCGGCGACGGGCGCCCATACCTGTCGCGCAGGCTGATGGTCCAGGGCGAGTTGCCAGGCATGCCCCCCACGATCCGTGCCTTCATGTTCACCCGATCCTCCCTCTTCCCGCACTCGGTAAACTCCACCTTCTCTGCGGCAGATCCAGACAGGAGCAGGGAAACGCCAGGGCAGGTAACGTTAAACACGCCAGAGACAGGATCCATCCCAGCGTGCCCAGCCTCACACACACACACACACACAGGCCGTTCCCACTCCCGAACCAACACAACGCGCCCAGCGCGACCGCCACCCAGATCCAGCGGAAACGCTCACGGATCCCCCAGGGGAATCTCACCTGCTGGTTCCACGATGGAGACCTTCTCCCCAGCTGTGGAGGCACAGAGACAACAGAAACGTCAGTGGATGATCGCACCCGAGACAGACGGGCGGCCGTGTTTCGGAGCCCTAAATCCCGAATTGGCGGGAATCGTGGACGGGGAGGGGGGCGGCGGGGAG